ACCAGTAATTAATTTGCCTCATTCATAGTTAGTGTATGTTCATAGGTTCAGGGTATAGTTTGGGGAAGTGGGAAACCATGTTATATAAATAAATAAATAAATAAATAAATAAAAAGTTTATCCAACTTGGCTTTAAGGTAAACTCTATCCAACAAACTTAAATCCGAATGCAGGGAGTTGGTACAAATGCAGATTGCAGTAGAAAAAATATAATAATAAAATAAAAGTGCATGCAGAAGTAGGGGTGAAAGAAGGAACAAGAAAGCACGGTTTGTGATTAAGAAGGGACGAGATCTGGGGTGATGAGAGCAAAGATTTAGAATACATATTGTATATATACATACAAATATATATTCTCTGGGCAGTGTCACAGCCTGGCTGTCTGTCTATGATGACTGCAAACTTTCTTTTCTTTTTAAACCTCACAATCAAGAAAGCAAGCAAGAGATTTAATACTTCTGTTTCGTCTAGTATCGGGTAAATATAGTCTTATAACTTTAGTCCACAAAAAATCATTAGAGCATCTCCATCAGTGATTTTTGGTTGGGTTTTTGAGAAAACATAGCTTTGGTGGATGAGAGAGGATGAAGAGCCAGAGAAAAAAAAAAAAAAAAACTTAATGCAACAATTTGATTTTTGGCAGACTTGTGGGACCCCACTAGATGCTCTGATTTTTGCGCCTTGGTCGCGTGAAGTGTAACCCAACGCCCATCCAAACACGTGTAGCTTGATTTTTTGCAGACTTGTGGGACTCACTAGATGCTCTTATTTTTTGCGCATTGGTCGTGTGAAGCGCAACCGAGTGTCCAGCCGGGCGCATGCACTACACGCGCCTATTCCACAGTTTTTTTTGTTTTTGTTTTTCTTTTTTCTCTTCCCTCCTATCTTCTCTTTCGTCATCATATATACCTGCAAAAACTCCTCAAAAATCGCAACTGTTGGAGATGGTCTTAGACCAGTTTAATATAGGTTACCCATAGTTGATTGGCTAAAATCAAGAAGACCAATAAATCACTCTTAACAATGAGTCAGAAATTATATTATAACATTGTGATTACCAAATCAACAATATGATCTACCTCATTGTCCAAGTTCCATTCTTTTATTAGGTAGGTATATAGTTTGTGGTTCTATGAACACTCACACACAAGTATTTAAGAAAACTTGTAAGTCGGTGAGACATATCTGGAGATTTACCTCTTCCGATCCGAGATTTCATGGTAAAAACAAGCTAACAGATGAAAACATTTTGTGATTTTTTTTTCTAATGAAAAGAAATGCAGGCACCCACACGTTTCAAGTAGTCCTTCCTGGTCTTAAAAGCTGGAGACCAGATAGATGATTGTCCTTTCTCTGAAAATCACAACCAAATAACAAACAATATACACACTCCCACACGTATGACCCCTCTCTTTTGTGTGTGTTCCTAGCTACCCTTTGTCTTCACTTATAACTAATCCATCTCATCATTATTTCTCTCTCTCTCTTGCTTTTTTATCTGTTCCAATCTTTTATTACTCTTTATTTTTTTCTCCTCCAAAGTTTGTGAAAATGTAGATTCATTTACCATCTAGTGATTAAAGAATTTATGAATGATTTTAAGTTGATTACACATAAGATGTTGTGTTCATGATGTAGACTTTTAACATGATTTTTCTTGTCCCGATGATGCGTATTAGGTGTTTCGATCTTATGTAATAGTCTATAAACTACATATATATGAGTGGTAAAATCTGTGCGACTGGGTGCTTTGATCTTATGTAGCAGTTCTTAAATTACATATGAGAGGTAAAATATGTGCAATGAGTTATGATTTAGTGACACGGGAATCATTCTTCACCCACCTAGCTACCCTTTGGGGCAATATTTATTTTGATCCTATTTGGTAACATAATTAGTTATCAGCCCTTTTGGCTTATTTGATCACTATTAGTTGTGTGACTTGGTTAAACAAATAATATAAGTGTTTGATTAATTAATTTTTTTGTAACATGTTATTGCTCTAAAATGTTAACATTCAAAAAGTTGCTCAAAGTAATTTTTTCGATCAGCTTTTTGAGAAAGTTATTTTGCATGTAATCAGCTATCAATTAACAATTAATTTATCAATAGTCGATTTTAAGTAAACATGTATTGTGAATTTTTGCTTTACTTATACTTACAAAAACATTATGTTCTCTTTTTGGTAGTAGCTAAGTTAAAGACTTTATAGTCGATTTTAAGTAAATGGTGATTAATTTATGTATGTTGTAAAAGTAAAAAAAGTGAAAAAGAAAAAGTAAAGTTTGATATTTTTAGTGTATGGGAAATAATTTAAACATTGTAAAGGATTTTTTTTTTTTTTTTTTTTTTGAATTTGAGTATGTGGAAGAAATAAATTCATGTATTTTAAAAGTTTATAAATATTGTGCACTTTCCTAATTTGGATAAAATAAATAAATCATAGGGTGTGTCACACAAATCGGTAAATTTTTCAAAATATTTATACAAAAATTAATTTAATATTTATCGTTAGTAAAAATCAAATCGGAGCACACAAGAAATAACATGGAGGAATTACAAGAGAAGGGAGTGGTAAAAAGTGAAAAGAAGTGGAGTTTGCAGGTTCCCAATGTGATCCTTTCATGATCATGATGACATCAAGGAGGGTGGGGGAGCAGCTTGAGTGTTGTAAAATGATGTATGTCAGTGATGGCATATATATATATATATATATATATGTGTGTGTGTGTGTGTGTGTGTATGTATGCATTCATACATGCATGCACCCACCATTGATGAATGATTGAAGAAAGAAAGAAAGAAAAGAAAAAGAAAAACACAAAATAGGAAGCATAGAGGGGGAAGGAGATGGTGACACAAGAAACATGTCTTCCCTCAATCATTATATCATAGACCATGGTCGGTCCATATTACAAGATGAATCAGTGATATACAAGTTCATTTTTAATATATTAAATATTTACTTATTGTATATTACGAAATACTAAATTTTCATTACATTAAAAATAAATATTTATTTATAACTAACTTTTCTATATAGACAATAATAATTTCCCCATCTTGCCTTGGTTGGGGACCCAAGTAATATTCTCAGATAGGCTATTAAAGTTGGAAATAACTGAAAATGGGTCAATCCTTATAGTGTGAAATTTTCCTTTTTTTTTTTTTTTTTTTTTATTCCCATTATTTTTCCCTTTCAAATAAGATTTTGTATTAATTTTTATTGGTCCGCCCCACCCCACCCACCCACCCACCCTATAAAGAAGAGAGCTAGCTAGGGTTTTCAAAGTTTTTGACCATGTCTCAGTTCACTGAAAATGTAGTACATTCCTGTTACACTGCTGCACCATTTAATGAAATGAAAACGTCTGCCATTGGGTTTGGTTAAAAGTACAATGGGTAAAAATTACATTAAGATAAAAATGTAGGAGTAACAAACATCATAAAGCCACTGTAATTTTTTTTGAGGCATAATATACATAATAAGTTGTCTTATAATAAATTGGTTATTTTGGTTGATGATCACAATTAAATACTCCGTATTAAACTAGCATATATCTGACTCATTGATGTAACTCTAATACCAATTGATGTAAGTGATGTTTGATAAATAACTGTTAGTTGATAGATGTTAGCTGATTGAGTTGGTGAGTTAACTAATAGTTGATTACATATAAAATGACTTTCTCAAAAAGTTATTTTGAAAAGTTTTTTGATGTTTAGCATTTTGGAGCAATAAGCTGTTACATTATTTAATCAAGTCAAATAGTTAATAGTGGTCGAATAAGTCAAAATTGACTGATAATCTAACTATGTTACCAAACAGGGCTATAAACTTAGGTCCTAACTACACCACAAAAGCTAGCTCATGAACGTAAGTTTGACCCAAACTCTTTACATTAGCCTAGATTCTGATCTCATCATCAGTAATCAACATGGGACGCATCATTTAGGTAAACAATAATTTCAAGATTGATAAGTAAGTCGTCTTGGTCAAATATTCTTGGGCGACAGTTAATAACAGACAAACCGCCCCGCTCGAAAACATACACGACACAGTGACAAAATGTGAGTTTGTGCTGGATAGCAGCGACCCAATGGGATCACGAACGAGGGTTAATTTCTGACTTGGTGTTGCACATCCCGGGTCACATTGTGACCTACACCAACACTAGGTCACCAACACTATCACCATCATCAGGTAAACAATAATTTCAAGATAAGCATATGTGTATATATAAATAAAAGGTGTGTTGGTGGTTGTAAAATGTGGTTGTTATAATGGTGTGATAGAGATGGGGGGAAGCTAGCAAGCTTTAGTTTGGAAATAAATGAGAGTAAGAGTTGTATTAACAGAGAAGTGCAGTGGGGGGTAGAGTAAGCTTCATTTTCATATTGTTTTGATGAGAAAGGTTTTGTCTTAGGGCCAGCCTGCACAAGCCTAAGATAGCAGACCATCACATTTGGGGTCTTTCTTGTCAATCCTGAGAGGGACAGCCTAAAAGCCTTCAAACCCTCCCACTCATACAACACACAAACATCTCATGAACTCACACGTGCGAACCCTTTTTTCCATTTTTTCTTTTCTTGAAAATTAAAAATCATTTCTTTTTGCTGTATATAAATGTGGGGTACCAGTGAGGTCACAGACTGAGAGAGTTGAGTCTTCCCTTCTTCACTCTTCTTAATAAGACTTGAAAAAAAACTTGCCCAGAGACTACTTTCAAGAATTCTTTCATTTTTTCTTCTTTATATCTCCCCAAGAATTGTTCTTTGTATTCAAGATTTCTTCTTTTTTTTGTTTATTGAATGTGGGCATGGCTAGTAGTAACAGGTGCATATATACACCACCACCAAATTACTCTCCTCCATCTTCTTCTTCTTCCTCATCTCCTTTTGGTGCTTCAATGGGGATGGTTTTTGCAGACATGGGTTCCCTCTCCATTGACCCCAAGAATGGTGGCACACAGATGATACAGGAAGCCTCTCTTCCCAGTGGGGGGGAGGGGAGGGGGTGTTGGGGTTTTCCATCTTTCTTGAAGGAAGGATTAATGGAAGATCATCATCATCATCATCATCATAATCATCAGAACCAGAACAACAACAGTGATGTGGAGGAAGGGGGGAAAGGCTCTGATTGCAGTGATGGGTTTGGGGAAAACAGTGAGCCCATCATTGATCTTAATGCTGCTGTTTTGAGTGGGGAAGATCATCATCATCATCATCATCAGGCTATCATGCATGTGGGGGGGAATGGTGGTAGTAGTAATGGGAAAGAAGCAGAGAGCACTGGGCAGTCAAAGCTGTGTGCTAGAGGCCATTGGAGGCCTGCAGAAGATGCCAAGCTCAAGGAGCTTGTAGCCATCTATGGCCCCCAAAACTGGAACCTCATTGCAGAGAAGCTTGAAGGAAGATCTGGTAAGAACAACAATCCTCTCATCTTTATCAATTTACTAAATCTTACGAGAAAAATCTGCGGTCACTATCTGAGAGTATCGGTGCACTGTTTAAACCCGACTTATAATTTTAGTGTATAAATGATCACAAGTACTGTCTTGTGACGTTTAGCTGATCGACTGAAACCAAAAAGACTAATAAGCTGTTTCAGCAGAATAGCTGATCAGACAAATTAAGAAGGCTTAGTTGAAAAAATTGACTAATTTGATGATTGTGGGGGTGAAGGGAAGAGTTGCAGGTTGAGGTGGTTTAACCAGTTGGATCCAAGGATAAACAGGAGGGCATTCAGTGAGGAAGAAGAAGAGAGGCTAATGGCAGCACACAGGCTGTATGGGAACAAGTGGGCAATGATTGCAAGGCTGTTCCCAGGGAGAACAGACAATGCAGTGAAGAACCATTGGCATGTAATAATGGCAAGGAAGTATAGGGAGCAGTCCAGTGCTTACAGGAGGAGGAAGATGGGGCAGCTGGTTTACAGGAGAATGAACGAAGAAGACGAAGACCAGCTTACCAGCACCAACACTGACGGCGCCGCCAGAGATCATGGTGGTAATAGTGGTGGCGGTGGTGGTGGCATGAGAACAACAGCCATTGGAGCAATCAGCAGTACTAGTCAATCTGGGTGCCCATTTGGAGGTGTGGGTAGTAATAATAATGGTGGTTGGATGGTTTATGGTGGAGCTAATGGTTCACCCCACATGGCTGCCTCTGGTGAAGCAATCCCAACTAACAATGGCCACCACCACCACCACCCTCCTCCACCTCCATTCTCTGCTCTCTGTGCTCCTCAACAACCACCCTTTGATCCTTTTCCAGGTTCAATTTCTCTCTCCCCATTTTTCACTTTTTTCTAATTTTAGTTAAACTAATCATAACTCAAGGGAATAACCGTTTGATCTAGTGGCCCGAAATGACTTAGCTGGTTTGTATGGATTCTTTGTGCTTTATGAACAGATACTGCATTGTAACAGAGTCAGTAGTACTAAAAAATATCATTAGTATCACAAAAGGATTGGAATTTGTGACTTTATAGTTACAACAAGTTTGTATATTTTAAGGATTTTAGTGGGGGTTATCGACTTTGTGGTTATAAATTTGAATCTTTAACCATCTTGACTGAGGTTACGGTGAATTGGTTTTGGTTTTGTGAAGGGCAATGCAACAACCAGATGGTGGGCATGTTGAATCAAGGAAGATGTTGGGGGAAGCCCCACCACCAATTTCTCGGCCGCCACCCTCCGCCGCCGCCGCCATTAATGATGACACCAATAATGCAGCAGCAACAGCAGTACTACAACTTGCCATACTCCATCTCCCCGGAGTTCTCATCACGGCCGCCGCCGCCGCCATCAGAGCCCCATCCTCCACCGCCGGCGGCCGCCGAGGACGACAGAAAAGGCGGCGGCGGCGGCAGCAACAACAACAGTACTACCCCGTGCGACGCAATCTCTCCCACATTCATAGACTTCCTCGGAGTCGGAGCCACCTAATTAATAAACCCCAGACAGACACACACAACTGTCGCCGCCGCCGCCGCCTCCATGAAAGCAGCCATTTTTCCCGGCCATGAAAACTCAGTTTACCCAACACTGAAAACAACAAAAAGATAACGCCTTTCCCCATCCCCACTCCCCAAAATCAGCAAAAACCCCACCCCACCCCCCAAGAACTGTTAAAACACAATAAAAGCTTCTGCAATTCTGTCACCACTTGTCTCTTTACTCAATAATTCCCCCCTTCCCTTCCCCTCTCTCTCTCTCTCTTATTTGGATTTTGTTTTGTGTATGAACAGTGATGTGTTAATGGGGGTTAGAGTGAGTGTGTGCTAAAAGAGAACAAAACCAGACACTGAAAATCGAAAAACATCCTTTGGTGATGGGCCTGCAGAAACCAGGCAGGAATTCTGGTCCCCAAACGAACGCCAAAAACAAGAATTCATTAAAAAAAAAAAAGGGTTGCGAGAGAGATAGAGAGAGAGAGAGCATTGAATTATGTAACTGTTTAAACATACATTCTGGGCAGAATGTGTCTGATGAAGTTGTGTTCATGCCTCCTACGTGGGAATAATGCTCGCAAGTCGCAACTGTCCCCAACAACAGTTGTGTTCCCAGTTTCGCGTATGCTTGCAGAATGTGAGTCCATATTATGGGAGGGAGGAATTATTATTATTCCCCATTCTTGTTTTCTTATTATTAAAATAAAGTTTAATTTGTGTGGGGATACCATCATAGATTTGTTGAGTACTTTTTTTTTTTTTGATAATTCTTTTTTGAGAAAATGGTCAAATAGACTCTCGAATTTTAATTGAAAAGTCGGTTAGCCTTCTAAACTTTTAAAGGGACAATTACATTCATCGACAATACATTTTGATGACCTGTTATTACAGGTAATTCGGGTTCCGACCATCCTCTGGTGAAATTTCAAACAACCAGTCACGGAGAAGGCGACCTTGGTCTCCTTCTACTTGAAGGGCGACTGTTCCCCGGTGGACGATAACTTTTTTGTCTGAAATTGTTAGAGGGTGGCCGGATCCCTAATCACCTGTGATAACAAGTCATTTATAAGTTTTTACCATTTTTTCTTCTTTTTAATGTTTTTCTTGAGTCAAGTTTGATAAATGATAGATTTGTTTTACGAGCTGTCACAAACAGGACGAGTTAAAAATATTTTATGATTTTGTGCGCCGTTTAATGACATGTGTTGACAGTTGGTGTTACCAATCACTAATATATATTGGTAATCATAATACGAATATATAATTTTTTTAGATCCTCATCAAAATAATAAAACATTTGATTAGAGACTCAATTTTTTAAACCCTAAACTTTTAATTATTTTTGTGGTAAAAATTCTAAAAAAGTTTTTTGATAGTGTATTATAGGTAAGATCATAAACCCTTTCAAATATAGTGTAAAAAGAAAAAGTCAGTTTAGAAGTTCAAAATTCACAATTCTCAACATTTTCATTTTGAGTTTGAGTTCACGAGGGGAAGGAACATGAACGACGCATCATTCAAGATGATCTCATATACTACAAGAAAAATAATTTTTTATTGACAAAAAAATTAATGAAGGATTTAGAAACCTTTAGCTTCCCATTCTCTACAAATTAAGAATGTCAATAGACTACTTTAATTGAAAGTCAAACTTAAAGTAATATGATTATCAAACTAATAATCCAACAAACTTGACTGAGATTGATACCACCAATAAAAAAAATTACAAAAACTTCTATGGTGTCAATTTGTAGGGTTATATTGAGGACTTTTAGCATTGGTTTCTACAATACTGGTTCAAATGAGGACATGACTTTCCATGTAGATTGCACCATAGGCATGTATAAGTGCACCACACAATGTTCGAAAATGCACCAAAATGAAATGCACAAATGCACCCCATAATGGTGCATTTATGCATACCTAATGATGTATGACTGCATTGAAAGCACTGTGCTGACCCTGGTTCCACAATACCTAATAATGTAACTAAATATACCATAGAGGCGATTGTACCGATACAAAAGACATCAGTACAAATCGTAAGTAGTTCTACCAAATACAAATGGAAAAGGGAAGATCATAGGTGATTGTACTCGGTACAAAAGACGTCATAAACACAAATCGTTAACTGATTGCACCAAATACAAAAGACACTAATACGGATTTACATCCTAAAAATTCTTAAAATTAATATATACAAAGCCTAAAAGCCCTAGATGGAGATTTGGGCCATAAGTTTAGCAAACTCACCAAGATCAATCACCCCATCACCATTCTCATCAAAAGCCCAAATCATCCTCTTGCAATCCTCCAACCCACACCCCTCCTCCTCTAAGCCCAAACAAACAAGAACTCTCTGCAACTCACATGCTTCTATGAACCCATCCCCATTCTCATCAAACACATCGAAACATCGTTTGACCTCCGCCATGCTAGCCTCCTCCTCACCTCCACCAACAACAACCCTTTCACTCTCTTCTTCTTCCTCCTCCTCGTCTTCTTCCCACTCCATGCCGAGTCTACCCATCACCACCTTCACATCCGCCATGCAAACACTGCATGCATCCTCCTCCACCTTGCCTCCGCCGCCGGGATTAATGGAGATTTGAGGGGGTTTGAGGAGGAAGGCCTCGCGGATAGCGGAGTAGAGGAATTTGAAGAACGTGACGAGAATAGACGATGATGCTGCAGTAGTAGTAGTGTTTCTTGCTGTCAACTCCATTGTTGCAGATACTACTAGTTCTTGCTATGAAGAAGAGAGAAAAGGTTTTTTTGGAGTTGTCGTCAACGAATCAAAGAATATACAATGGTGAATGCAAATGCTGTGAAGTTTCGCAGTAGTTTCGAGCCCAAACACTTATTTTTTTTTTTCTTTTTCTATTTATGAGTAAATCCCAACTGCTATTGAGATAGATGCAAAACTTGCCTTGTGACCATTGTAAGATTTCCCTAATAATATATATTGGGATAAGAGATGCAAGTTGACTAGGCTTATTAAGTAGTTTTAGTTTGGTTAGACTTGAATAACTAAAAGTTCAACCAGACTCTGTAGGTGCCTAATATATACCTGAATTTGATGGGATACAAGATATATTATCATATAGCATATTCAGATACGAGACTCATACACTATCTAGGATTCTGAGTGAAGTATGAGACAAATATGACTCGCGGTCTATTGTTCAGAGGCAATGAATAGGGTTATTGCTTCCGCTTCTATGATGTTAGATTATTATTCAATATCGTTAGATTATTTATATCTAACAACTATAACCTATAAAAGTATTTATATATTTTTTTTGGGTTTAGATTTGGAACTGTCGATTCGGGTTCTCAATTTTAATAAATTGGAACGGAAATCTTTTGAGTTAAAAAAAAGAAAAATTATAAACAACTTGAATTTGAAACTTTATAATTACTAATTAAATTGTATCATTTGAATTGCTTCTCAAGGAACCTAAACACCATTGACTATCTTGGGAGGGACTCTATTGAGTAGTAGATGGATGGAGCCGTACAAACGTGTAGAAGAAAATTTTAATTGATTAAATATAATATTTTTGTTATAGAGTAGATGTATGTAGGTATATATGTAGAGGTCAAGACTCAAGATTGAATAATTTTTTTTTGAATGCTACTAGCTCTATTACATTGTAGTATCTGTTCATATACAACTTTCTCAAACTACTGAAACACAAAGAGCTAATAACGCGCCTCAACTGAGGCTCAAACTTACAACCTTCCAAATGGAAGTCCAACCCGGGTACCATTGGACCACATAGTCCTGGTCAAGATTGAATAATTTAATGTAACTATAAGTAATTTATTGCAGGGTTTTTTTGGGTAATATATCGTTCAGTTAAATATTTAAATTATTAAAAACATAATATGTGCCAATATAAGTTATGTCCTTGATTTTTGTCCATTTTTTATATGCTAATAAATATATATACATTTTGCTTTAATTGTTGTACATTTTATTTGTATTAGACAAAATCACTCTTACACCGTTATAATACAGTTAGTATTTAATATATCCACCAATCTTACCATACACCTACATCTATCATATATTTTTCCTATTTTTAATTATCATTTTATTAAAATTATCATATAACAATTAATTTAATTATACATTATATTTTAATTAAATATTTATATGAATGTTAAACTTTATATATATATATATATATATATATATATATATAATGTTTTGATCACTATATTATTCAAATATATGATAATTCAAAACTAAATCAAAAGTATTATAACTTTAAAAAATTGCGAAACATAATTTTAATTAATTTTTAAAATTTTATTACTTAACAATATTTTAAGATTGGGCATAAATTTTCGCGCATTACGCGTACAAAATGTTACTATTAATAAAAAAGCTAACAGAGATATAGATTGAATGATTTCTGATTTCGGTGCTTCTCAGCTTAATTTGCAGGTCTTTGATAAACACAAACCTTTGAGAGAATCGGCTGTGCGGGTCACATACATATGGTGTCAAAATTGTTCAATTTGAATTCATGTAGTTTCGTTCTTGTTTTCTTTGTTCATTATATAGGACTTAGTTCTGGTGCGATAACTTTTTCAGGTGTGACCGTACAGAGATTTGTATCATTGAATGAACTTAGATGAATGTTTAAAATCAATAATAAGTGGAAAAATACGATGACATTTTTATAATTTTCAATAATGACTAGTGCCTTTAAATATATGCTTGATGGTGTATTTACAAATCAGTACTATGTGCACCACAAACCAATTAACATCGAAAATATATTTAGTGCAAAAAATTACTAAAATACATACCACTATATTTTTTTCTCTTTTCAATAATTTTCAACTGTTGATCTGAGTTCATCCAATAGCCAGATCTGTTTACATGGTCACACCTAAGGAGACTATATGTGTGTGTGTGTACTAGTAATTGTCACGTGCGATGCACGAACTATTATTAATTTAACAAATTTACCAATTAAATTTATGACATTCTCTGAATTAGCAAAGAAAGTAATGGTTGTGGAAATAGAAAAACGTACTTGAGTTCTTGAGCTCAGAATTAGTTTGATTAAAAATGTAAGCATAACTATACAATGTTAAATTTAATATTTTAAAAAGTTTAATTATGCTATTATTTTGTTGATTTTAAAGTTTATTGTTACTAGGGATTTTAAAGTTTATTCTTACCCGCATTCCCGATCCATTCCCCGCACCCGCACGGGTAATGCAATTCCTACCCTATACCCGCCCCCCGCACCCGCACGGGTAATGCAATTCCTACCCTATACCCGCCCCCCGCACCCGCACCCGCACGGGTAATGCAATTCCTACCCTATACCCGCCCCCGCGGGATTTTGCAGGTGCGGGTAATACCCAACCCGTAACAATTATTAATATTACACTTAAATCAAATAAAAATTTTATACTACAATTGTAATTATCACATAGATTTTTTTTTTTTTTTTTTATATTTTTGAATGTTACTGGCCCTATTACATTGTAGTATCTGTTCATATACTTTCTCAACCTACTGAAACACAAAGAACCAATAACGCCTCCACCGAGGCTTGAACTCATAACCTTCCAAATAGAAGTCCAACCCGGGTACCATTAAACCACATAGTCCTGGTAGATTTTTTTTTTATATAAGTTTGAACATAACTCTAAAATTTAATAAGAGCCAATGAAGTTAATCCTTAATTGGAACGAAAATTATGTTGGTAGTATCAGTGTTGCAAAAATCGCGCCTAGGCGCCCTAGGTCGTCCCCAGGCGCCTAGCGATTTTTTCAACCTTGGGTAGTATAAATTGTATTAAGTGTTTACTCATTATGTTATTTGTGTTGTTCATATTCAACTTTCATTAACAAAAAACTAAGAAATTTAATTCATTATGCATTTTTAATTAATAAAATGTACATAAACTTATATAATAAATGAATACAAATAACAATATATATAAGTGCGGGGCGGGGATACCTCCCCCCACACCCGCCCCCATACCCACGCGGGTTTACGAAATTCCCCCCATACCCGCCCATTACCCATATTGTGCTGGTATTTTAAAACCCGTAGGGGCGGGGATGCGGGGAACCCATTGTGTGCGAGTAGAATTGTCATCCCTAATCTTTACTTGTATTATTATTATTATTATTTGAATTTTTTTTTGAAAGAAATTTGAATTTGAAATAACTATTTTAATTATATAACTAACGTATTTAAATAAAACTTGTAAATAAAATAGCAGGCGATATTTGTCGAAAATCTCCACCAAAAACTTATCCATTTGAAAAAGATTATTTAGGTAAGAACTATATTTATTTTATATCTAATTTCTCCTCTTTATATATGTGGAGTCAAATTAATAATAAAATATAATTTATAAAATAAAATATGTAGAGCTATAATAATAAAATATAATTTATAAAATATAAATACACATAATAACTTCATAAAAATATATATAAATACATCTACCCACACAATTAATGCATTCATACTTGCTAATCTTGTTTCTATCAAAATGCATTCACACTTTAAAAGAAAATTTTTCTGGCTAGATTATGCTTTATTATATATATATATATATATGTGTGTGTGTGTGTGTGTGTGTGTGTGTGTGTGTGTGTGTGTGTGTGTGTGTGTGAATTGCCCGCCTAAGAGAGAACTGAGAACCATTCAGCGCGCGTTATGTGTCTAGATCTAAGTGCACCTGACATTATAACTAGGTGCACCTACAAATGAATGTTTGTGAGTGGTTTTCACGGGTACTAACTATCCGCTGAACTCCTCCGCAAGAACAAAAATAGATCAGATCAATGAATGTTAACAAGGCAAAATTAAATGCAATTGTAGGTGAAAGTATGTACACTTGCAAGTGATTTTACCTGCACTTTCTACTTGCAAATGTGCACCAACTACTTGCACATATAACACATTTACATGCACCAAAGGATAAGTGCCGCGCGCTGAATGGTTCTCAGTTCTCTCTTGGACGATCGTTCGCATGAGAGTGCGCCTAATATATATATATGGCTCTATGAGAACTATGCCTTAGGTGAGAATGTGAGAACTAATTTGAGCCATTAAAAATAAATGATGCACGACTGTGATTAATCCAACAAATCTACTTAGATTAAGGAAAATAATTATGAAAATAAAATAGTAAAGAATATTTTACCAATGACAAATTAGTCTTATAATCGTCAATCGCGTCAAAGAAGGAAAACATTCCTTTCACACTATGATTTCAAAACATGTTTCTTGTGTAATACGGAGTAATATTTATGGAAACAAATAATTATTTTTAATTACTAATATTAACACTCATGCCCAAAAGTCAAAAAACAAAACTCCACGACAAAAAAAAAAAAAAAAAAAAAAAAGAAAGAAACTAACAAGAGTATAATAAATCACAATTAACACAATAATGCACTACAACTACAGCAGTGATGCACTAGATCTGTAACACCAATGCACAACTCGCAGTCTTACGATGCACCATACCTAGCGCCCCAATGCACTGCATGATGCACCCCTCCTAAAATCACAGATTTATCAATGCAATATAATTACTATATATTTTGAGCGAATGAATTTTACAAACATGCATTACTAAAATCTAGTAATTTTGATGGGTTGCCTCGTGACACAGATAAACTAATTATTTAATTTAGATAAGTTGATAACTCAATTCTTTCAGGGGTCGTTTGGTTCACGGAATGTCAGATTACCTTAGGGAATGTTAGATTGCTGGGAATGTTAGATTACTGGGAATGTTAGATTCCTGTGTTTGGTTAAAATTGGGGTATGTAATATAATCATGTTTGGTTTAGGGTTATCTTTTATTCACACACTATAATATCCTTAACATATTTTCATATATTTTAATAAATTTAAAAATTAAAATAAATAAATAAGATAAAGGTATCATATATAATTACATGATTTTAAAATATTAACTAAATATTGAACTTGAGAAACAAAATTATTTTATATGCTAACCTAGCATAATAAAAATAAAAAATATATATATAATTACAAAAATAATTATATATGTGTGTGTGTGTGATAAACTAACATAACCAAGGTTATCTTACATAACCTTAGAAATTGAAGGGAATCACATTCCCTTCAAAATCCTATGTGGAGGGAATGTGACATTCCTGGGGAATGCTAGATTCCCTGAGATAATGTGAACCAAATATAGGAATGTGAGTTTTGGAATGTCACATTCCCTTGGTTATGTTATATAACCTGAACCAAACACCCCCTCAGATACTGCTAACTTAATTAGCGAGTTAAGCTTATACAAAGTAGTTGATAACTTAATTTTATTAACAGTTAGGAGGATGTATGGTTTGATGGTTTTTTTTCAAGGATCTGAAAAGCAAGGCATGAGCCCCTAGTCTTGGACAATGTCACCAAGCCCGAGGTCTATGGGAATAGTTACGTTGTGTTTATGGGAAAGGAAATTATTATGTATAGTCCCTAGTTTGATTTCTAAATTTTTGATGTATATATAAAAGTAAGAGTAGAATTTAGGATTTCATGTAGTAGAATTTTTTTATGAGAATTGGGTACTGCTAGCTCAACTTACGCTTGAAAGAGAAATTTTTGGTCTTCATATGAAGGCTTGAAGTTGATTGATTTATTAAACTTATCATCGTTATTTTTAAGATGCAGGATACACCAACCTTTACATCTAAAATTATAACTTGTAATGACGAAGGCTTAATTTTATTTTCGCATACTATCACGTTTTCAAGAGCCATGATACTAGACTTGATTCTCCACCAATCTCCGACCAACAATAATATTGACATCTACTTTAGTTATCTAACTTAAGGTGCAATCAAAATCATTGATATATATAAATAAATAAATAAATAAATAAATAAATAAATATATATATATATATAGGGTCAGGTTCCTGTGAGGTCAGGTCTTCCCGTGCGGTCAGTGCGGCATACACCATTAGGTATGCATAAATGCACCATATAGTGTTCGAAAATACACCAGAATGAAATGCCAAAAAATACACCACAGAAAAAAATACACCACACATAATGGTGTATTTGCGAACACTGTGTGGTGCATTTATGCATACCTAATGGTGTATGCCGCACGGGAAAGACCTGACCTCACAGGAACCTGACCCTATATATATATATATATATATATATATATATATATATATATATATATATATATATATATATCATTTTTTAATAATATTAATAATAACGATTTATTCAATTAACAAATCATTAAAAATATTTGGCATTATTCATCACACCAATAATTTTAGACACAATAAATTATTGCTTGGAATTGCAGTGAGGTTTCATTATGTTTGACAAGTAGCTTAGGCATGGGGCTAGCTAGAGGATGAGACTAGGAAAATTAGTGTTTATTAACAACTTAACTCTTCAAGTGTGTAATGGACATCAATAATAACACAAGTGTCAATTATTTATTATAATAAAATTATTGGTCATAGGTAACAACCTTTTAACCATTCCTTCAACTAATTTCATTAGTTAATTATAAGCTAAGGTTACTATCCCTTTATTATATTAAGTCAAAAAAATATATATAATGCATAACTTTTTAGAGATTGTGATAATTGATTACGACAACTAACTAAGAAGGACCGTTTCACCTCATTTGCAAGGTACCATTATTTCATAAATCATTTGGGTAAATTAAAGTATACTTCGTTTGGACCGATCAGTTATGAATAACCTAGACTAGTTTACCTCTTTCTGATCCTTTATCAGGTAGAGTAACAAGACCGCTTTCACCCCACCTTCGGATAATAGCTACAGATTTTTTCATAAATCAAATTAATTATCTCTATGGTCCCTCATTCAAACCATCTCACATCTCATTTACTCCATTTGTATTATTTACATCAGTGCATCTACTATATATATATAGACTATATCTTTTTCTAGATTCTTACATATGCATTAGTTTTCCTGGAGTTAGAAAGCACAAATGATAGCATTAAGTGGAGCTCAGGTGTCAACCACTAAAAATGAAATTAAAGCTAAGAGATACCTTTGCTTTTCTTCTGTCTTTTTATCTGAAAATAGTTAGCTTTGCTTTCATTGAGGAATATCTGAGGATAAAGAACAGATGCCTCATCAGTTTATTCCTCCCAATAGGAATTCATGCATTCAAAATAAGGTTAACAAAAGCCTTGAAAAGGGTGCCCCGAAAGAGATGGTCGAGTAATTTTTTTTGGGTGATGAGAAAAACTCGATTACAGTTACTATAAGTGGGTGTGTACTAGGTAAACTTTGTCTTGTGACGTTAGTCGACAAATGACAACAAAGAGTTAAACTAATTTAGGTTGTTCATAGTTGACCGGTTCAAATCAAGAAGGTCTAGTGCCCGAAAAGGGTGGTCAAGTGATTTTGTAGAGTAGGGTTCTCGTACCAAAAAGTTACAGGTTCTATTCTTGCCAGCATACTCTTGATCACACCTGTCGGACATTGTCTTTCTAGTGCAATTTACCGGCCTCCTTTTTGTGTGATTTGTCTGTGTTATTACATAGGATTGAGTTTACCAGTGCACACGCTCAAGTAGTGGTTATGGTTTCTCTCATCATAAAAAAACAGAAAGGTTAATAAAAATTATTTTTAAAAAACTTATTTTTAGACATTAGAATCTAGCTTTAATTTGGCTAAATTATTAAGAGAGAATGTATGTTATGATTCAAATGTGATCCACATGGGAAGTGGCCTCAGATCACACCAAACATTTATTGGAATCATGAAATCATATGTAATCATGATATTTCTCACCATCATTTGGAAACTTTGAGGAAAGGAATTGAACTGCTTTATTAGGTCATCCTTTGATCACTCTCCTTGTAGCCAGGATTAAGACATTTGCTTATATGTGTTCCATGATGAAAAGATTCTTTAATGTCACTATATGCATACACTTCCATAAATCAAGTTGAAAGCCTTGTTCCGACCACTTTTGATATCCGGAAAAATCTTTGTTGCTATTTCCGATCACTTTTTGCTTTCGACTTGATTTAAAATCACTTTCAGGTGGTGGGAAATTTCATAATTTCCAGTAGTGAATCTTGTTATTACAAAGCTAACAATTCGACCAATCCGGCTGGGATTGTCGGCATTGGTTGAACCTGATCTTGTTGTGATTGCAAATTTGCAACCCAAGAAATCCCAAGATTGATCTGATTCTAATTGACTTTCACGATTTCTTGTTTGCCATCTTTCCCTTTCTTTTTTCACCTTTTACTTTCTTGTCTTTACCCCAGAAAATATACTGTGTCCAAGAAAAGCCACAATAATCCTCCTTTTTCCTGGCTTCTTTAATTTCTGCTAACTTCAAATGTTTGTGTTGCCTAGGAGCAATCGGTAAGCGGGTTGCTAATGCCACTATAAGATCAGATAATCAATTCTTGTATATATATGTTACGTTAAAGGCTTTAGATTAGACCTTCCCGAGTAAGAGTTAAACAATACATATTACAGTAGTGAAAATACCGGGTGTTACACATAATCTATAACTAGATTCTTTGGGTCCATCATCCTAAGAGAGCAGAAAAGAATCTGCAGATAGATCTCAACAAAGGCAGATGAGATTACAACTATTAGCTAGCATAAAGGAAAGGCAAAAGAGGACTGATTTAATTTGGTTTTTTGCCTTTCAAATTTCAATGTGCAAAGGATATATCCATCAAAGGGTCATCATTATTGTGATTTTCAATCAAAGATTTATATTTTGTAATTTCACCTAAAAAAGTTGCAGTCATCATGCAACAAGGTGGGGCTGAGTGGTAGAGAAAGTGCAGAATGAAACCAAGCCATACACTTTTAACCCTTTTCTCTCCTTTTGAGACCAAGAGTGAATATGTTTTGCTTTCTCCTTTCAAGTCAAAGGATAAAGGCCAAATTGGTCAGGTTGTTAATTCGGTAATCACAAAGTTATAAATTCGACTCCCAGCAAAGAGTAACCTATCAGTCTTTTCGTTTGAACTGGTCAACTATGGACAACTTAGCTAGACTGGTTTATAACCTCCTGATGTGGTCCTTTACCGGTTAAGGTCACAAGACGGGATTTACCTAGTACACACCATAGTAATTGTGGGTTTCTTTCATCACAAAGAAAAAAAGGATAAAAGGAAAGAAAATTACTAATGCTCATGTTACAATAAGTTACATACTTCCCTCCTACTATAAGTAATAGTCCTATGCCACCAAATATGGACTAAAAACTACAAACACTGCCAAAAATACTGGCACTTCTCTTTGGTATCATAGCAAGAATGGCTCCTCAGAGTGTGCAAGGCAATGCGATGAGCTTGGTTTTATCCCGGGAGGCGAAGCCGAGGCTGAAATGGACTGCAGAGTTGCACGAGGCATTCGTCGATGCAGTGCAGCAGTTAGGAGGTGCAGACAGTGAGTTAATTCGGTATGCTTCCTATGTTATCGTAACGCTTTTTTTCATCAGAAACTCTAACAGTAATATACTGCAGAGGCCACACCTAAGTCACTGATGAAGGCGATGAACATTCGCGGTCTGTCTTTGTACCACCTCAAGAGCCATTTGCAGGTTCGGTTAATTCCTTTTATTGTCACACTGTAATGGTATATATATACAAACTTCTTTTGTTATTACACCTTTGTGACAGAAGTTTGCTGCTGCAGAAATACCGACACGGGAAAAGTCATCAATCGCGACACTCTTGTCACACGAGGCAACAAGGTAAGCCACGATCATTCTTACTATCAGCTTAAACTTTTAGTTGAGACAGAACACATTCTTTCTTCTGTTTGGTATCAGAGCATAGTAGCATAATAAGAACAATATGTAAGATATTCGGCCCGCACACATGACAGACAAAATACTCGCTTTTGTGCAGACTACAGCGAGCCCCGGGATCAGAGGAGTGTTGCTATGCAGACACAGAAGAATGAGTAATAACTGCTGCTAGCTAAATCGTATTACTGTTTTTTTTTTTTTTCGGGTGACGAGGAAAACCTGCAGCCATAACCCGAGGCTCTTATTACTGTGCTGTTTCAGGAAACTGCAGATAGATCAGGCTTTGCAGGTGCAAATGGAAGTGCAGAAGAAAATACATGAACAGATTGAGGTAACATCAAGATCCCGTATTCAAATCGATATATACGATGAATATGATGGATGTAAATGCTATGTTTCTGCAGGTTCAGAGGCATCTCCAGCTGAGAATTGAAGCTCAGGGAAAGTATCTTCAATCTGCTCTAAAGAAAGCACAGGAAATCCTTTCGAAAGCCGACCTGATCTCCCTGCTAATCTCCCCAACAATGGTGGATTTGGGGTGCCAAAGCTCTTCGGAAAACAGCGAACTGACAACAATGGAGAGCTGTGAAGAAAGGGAAGAAAGAAGATATGATAAGAGATTCAGAGGCAGAAGATATGATGAAACATTGAAAAGTTCATCAGGGTTCTTGGAGAATCTTGATTTGAATGTAAAGAGTACTGTGAATAAGTTTGATGATACAGACTGTAAAGTAATTGATTTGAACCGCGAATGGGTATGATTTTCTGCTGGAAATTGTATGAGCAGATGCTCTGTAAGGTTATATATATATATGTGTGTGGATATTCCAAAGTGCTTGAATTGGATCCTAGGATGAGGCCATCCATGATGTTCATAGAAACTTTAATTTGCAGGTTTTTTAATGTTTTGTTGATTGGTACATTGAATGTTTATCTAAATATTATTAATTTTAAATGTTAAGTTTTCTCGAGTATAATTAACAACCAAGAAAATGACATGTTACAAAAGGTGAAAATCAAATCCTAGAAGTTCCATGCAAATAACTTTTATTTATACTAAATTTTTTAAGAATTCTAAACTAGGTTGAGACTCGGATAACAATAGTAATTCTAGAGTTAGTGCAACAAATCCCGAGATCTTGGAAGGGATGCATTTTTAAGATAAAAGGTCGACGTGGGCCCTACTCGAGCAGCGACGTCCTGCCAAGCACGTACAACGCCCTTTCATTTAAGACGACACAAGCGCGCACGACCTTGGTCGCAAGATTCATTTGGTATTTAACATAAAAATCATTTTGTCATGTCAAGATAGCTCAAGTCGTCGATCAATCAACGTTTAGTCTTGCTTTCATGGACAGGAGATTGGAACGTTAAATTATTTAGACAGCTCAAATTTTACCTCCTTCACGAATTTTAGGACGGGTTCATGAGATTCATAATATGTATGGCAAAGCCGAAACTTGGGTTATATTAAAAAAAAAAAAAAAAAAAAAAAAAAAAAAAGCACTTTATTGTACTATGTAACCGTTCCCATGCAGGTAGTTACTAACAGTTTATAGAATCCAAAATTTGAATCTTTTATCCACAAACTATATAAACCCTACAGATTCTGCAACTACCAAATCTCCATTTTCTCCATTGATATCTTCTTCATCTCGTTCAATTCTTCACAATAATTTCTTGCAAAAATGGACCCAACAACAGAAGGATTCGGGGTGAAAATCTACGAAATATCCCCACGGCCAAACCTCACCAAGTACCCATCAGCGCCAGCGGCGGCGGCCTCCATCTCCGTCGTCTCCGACCTTCCACCGCCGCCGGGAGGCGGCCGGAGAAAACGGGCAATGGCGAACGGGGTCCAAAAAACGCTCTCAAAAACCTCTCTACTCGCCAACTTCCTCCCCACCGGAACCCTCCTCTCCTTCGAAATGGTCCTCCCGAGCGTCTACGGCAAAGGCGACTGCTCCGCCGTGAGCGCCGCCATGATCGTCGTCCTCCTCACCCTCTGCGCCCTCTCCTGCTTCTTCTTCCACTTCACCGACAGCTTCCGCGGCCCCGACGGGAAGGTGTTCTACGGCTTCGTCACCCCCGGCGGGCTGGCCGTGTTCAAGAGCGACGCCGGCGTGGAGATCCCCAAGGACGAGCGGTACAAGGTTGGGATCACCGACCTCGTCCACGCGGTCATGTCGGTGCTGGTTTTCGTCGCCATCGCGTTTTCCGACCACCGCGTCACTGACTGCCTGTTCCCCGGACACGCGAAGGAGTTGTACGAGGTAATGCAGAGTTTCCCGTTGATGGTCGGGATCATTTGCAGTGGATTGTTCCTCGTCTTCCCCAACACCCGTTATGGCGTTGGCTTCATGTCCCCCTGATACTATCAGTTTCCAAAATATTATTTAGTTCTGTATATTATACTAATTTGAGCAGTATTTATCCCATATATATGTATATATTTTGTGGTTTTATTATCATTGTTTATTAATTTTGTCCGTTGATTCTTACCAACACTTTTCTGGTCAAGTTCATTATATAGGATTTTTTTTATGTGATAGATCAATACAGTTAATTTATCTCCCTTATGTGATTTGTGGATTATTACACTAGAGTAGTGTTTACTATATACATCTTTCGATAATGATTGCCTATATTTTTCTCTTCGAAAGAGAAAGAAAAAGAAAAGATTGATTTGTCATTTACAATATAATTGAATAAAAGTTTTTTAAAAAGTTAAATGTCCGCCTAGTAATAATTCATTCTTGGAAATGTTATTCCAGCTAATATTATTCAATTTGGTGTATAGTATTATACTAAATAGTATGAGTTCAGTCGTCGCCAGTTCCAGTTGTTGATTTTCATAATGAATTTGATATCTGTCATTTAAAACAAGCTTAAGAAAATTGTGCATAATATAATTAAAAGTTATTTAAAACGTTAATGTCTGCCTAGCAATAACTCGTTACTGGGAATGTTATTTCAGAAAATATTATTTAATTTGGGTGTATAGTATTACTAAATAGTATGTGTTCAGTCACCAGTCCTCCTGCCCTTGTTGATTTTCATCAGGGACAGAACCAAAGGGGGCAAGGGGCAGCTGCCCCCTCACCTCATATATAATCTTTATATGTATATATGTATCTATAGTACATGTTTTGGTATTAGTATAAAAAAACTATTATATGTCAATAAGAGATAAGATAGATTAGTTGGCAAAGCATATGTTTGGCATTTGTAAACGTAAGGGTTTGAACCTTTTGGCATCTTATTTTATCAAATTAATTATGTTTCATATTTTGTTAGGAATATTTTTATAAAGTTTGGATGTGTTTTATTTTTCGCACATATCCAACTACATTTCTTAGGTAAATTTTTTTTTTTTTTTAAATTATCTCTTTTATTTTAATGTTTTGTCCTTTATTGAAAAAAAAAATTCTGAATCCGTCCCTACTTATTCGCCCCCTTCAACTGAATTTCTGGCTCCGTCCCTGATTTTCATAATGAATTTGATCCAAGAAGGAGATTATTAGACTAAGTATATGGCTCACAAATTCTTTGTTTTTTTTTTGTTTTTTTTTTTTTTTTTGTTTTTGTTTTTGTTTTTTTGATTGTTTCTGATTTACCATTGTCTGCTTGGTTTTACTAAGTTCAAATCCATATCCCAACAACATTAAAGCAGTCCAAGATCATTAAAACAAGTTTAAGAAAATTGTGCCCAATTAGGTAAAAGTTCTTGAAAACGACTTGGACTAAAATGTCAAGTAGATAAGTTGAATTTGAAAGCATCCATCAGCGGCAAGGGTCATTTAAAGCAGAGTTTGAGTGTATTATGGGCAATTTTTGTACTGAAATAATGGATTTAATTAGTTTTGATGAGTTGAAAACAGATTCTCTTGTTGCAACTCGAAAGATACAAAATCATAAGAGTGTCTAAATCCCTTTCAAAAGTAAATAGATGCAAAACTTAAGTTTTGATAAACTTCATAAAGACTTCGACTTTATACTAAAAGCAGAAGATACCGTGGAAGTAATTCTTGTTTTCTTTAATTTGTCTAATGTATATTTATAATTTAAAAAAAAAAAAAAAGTGTAAAATACCCGGAGTAACAGTTATCCTTTTTGAAACTGTCATCCTTGGATTAATGTAATGTTCTTTTCTGAAGTTCTTGCCGTGCAAGTTGTTATCAAACACTTCGGACAAAACAAAGTACCAAAAACAATTGATATCAAAATTGTTGTTTTGTGCCTTTGTGTGAAAAACCCAAGCTAAGTTAGTAGTATAGTTAGCTTAGTAATCATAAGATTGTTAATTTAATTTGTGCAAGTTATTGATTGACCTTCTTAATTTGAGTCGGTCAGTTATGTTGGTTTTATTGACCACCGGAGTAGTCAAGTAATAGGCCAACACAATCGGAAAATTAAGAGAGTGATTGCCAGAAGAAACAGCTCTCTATTGTTGTGTATGCATGTCAAAAGCTCTCCGCTTTTCAAGGTGTACAATGCCTATTTATACACGTATTAAAGGGACCTAAACTAGGCAAATCTATCTTGCCATAAATAAAGTCGATCTTCCTTTTTAAATACAATTGATCTTCTTTCCTTATAACCTCCGTGTTTTCCACCGCTTTCCGCGAGATCCGCCCCTCAAATCTCTTCTGGATTTGGCTGTATCTTCGCATCCGTCCGAGTCCTCCTCGGAGTCGGCAAATCTTCCCTTCAATCGGCAGACTGAGTAGTTCAGTCGTCCGAACATACCTCCGAGCATGACTCCCATGGTCACTCGGCTACCCCCCTTCAGGTGAACCTACGCTTACTCGGCACTCTGCCCGAGTGCTCGCCCCGGGCCCTATTACTCGGCCACTCCCCAGACTATTAGCACCTCCCATTCGATTCCTGGTTGAGTGTCCCACCTGCCTTGTCGATTGCCCATAAGATTCATCCGACCACTAGGCAGGCTAACCCCATCTCTCATCCTTCCACCTGACTGGCTAACTATGTTACTCATTCATTACCCCCCTCCCCCCGCTAACTCAACTCCGTTACCCATCCGTCTTCCAGACTGGTTATCTTGACCACTCTCCCCCGTCCGATTGCATCCAACATCCTGCAATTAGGTTGGGTGACTTCACCACTCTGTCCCGGTCGACCCCCTGCCTTCGTACTTCTGCTCACACCCTCACCCAGGCTCCTCTGACCGTCTTGCTAGTATTCCAATTGGTATTTCCCCTTCCGCACTCGGCCTATCGGTCGGCTCCACGTCTTCCCAGTTACCTAATTCGACTGGGGATATGCCTGTATCCAATCAAGTTATATGGTCTTTTGTCAGCTAAGGTCACAAGGTGAACACCCCTAGTGCACCTCTAAATAATTGCTACTAGTTTCTCGTAATCAAAGTATTATTATCTTCTTGTATATAATAATGCATGTCTTTTGAATTGTATTGAGTAGTATCAATTTTTATCATCATAATTCGATTTGGGCATAACCTGACATACTATGTTCAATTGTACCCGTGCAAATGACACTGGTTTCTATTCTTGAACTAAAAGGAAATAGGTATTATTAGTCTTTATATTTGTTTTCAATGCAAAGGAGTTTTAAACAAAAATACATTAGTAAAAGATCAAAGAAACATTCAAACATATATGTCCGGTGAGTGGATGAAGACGATGACTAAAACGCAGGGAATTCAACGCTGGAAGCACATTTCCCTTTGGGAAAAACCGGGCACTGGATCAACTCCGAGCCGGAAGAATCAACGCAGATGTAAATCTGGTAAAGCTGGCTGTTCCCATCTGCACCGGCGTTGCATTCCACTCCCGGCGTGTACCCAATCCCATTCTCGACGGCGTTCTTGATGCTGCTCAGGCTGTAGAACCTCCCGTCCGGCTGGATTCCGGCGCCCTCAAGAATCTCCAGGAGGTTGATCTTGCTCTTCAAGTTCAACGCCGCCTTGAAGTATCCGTGTTGGTCGAGAACGGACTCCGAACATGTCCCGTGTTTCTCCCATTCGTGTGCCCAGAACGACGACCCGGTCCCGCTTGGGCACGCCAGGGTCGGCCAGCTCTGTTGCATTCTGCTCATCAAGTCCGAGACCTGAAGATGAAGACAATGACAATATAGTTTAAGAAATCTCGGGCACCGTGGTTTACTAATTTAAGAAATTTTTTGGGCTCTGATCTCTTTTGGATGACGAGGGAATTGAAATCAGCTGTCATTGTGCAAGGGTGTGTACTGAGACAGGAGAAATAAGAAACTGGAGAATTGAAGTAAGCGACCCTGAATTCGGTTTTCGAGGAGAAGTTTAAGGTTAATGGGAGTTTGAATTGGTTACCTTGGATTGAACATAAGGGTTGGTGGAATCACAGTTTGAAGGGTAAGTGCCATCATTGTAATTAGGCCACAATCCATGAATCCCAAAATCTGAGGCTGGCTTTCCTGTTGTGGGGTAGCAACAGCTCTGCTTGGTGTCACAGTATGATCCTGGCCACTGATCAACAACAACATCATCATCATCATCATTCAATTTGATCAGGTTTTCGTTATTACTTTAAACTTTTAGCCAAAAGATCAGAGAACGTAATGGCCCTGTTTGGTAAATGGTGTATAACTAGTACAGTTGATAACATTAGCTGATTGTAGAAAAAGCGTCAAAAGATCAGAGAACGTAATATATATTTCAAAAACTATAATATCAGTCTCTTAGAGGGTTCACATATGCATACCTGTTGAACAAAGTAGAAGAAATCGAAGTCTTGAGAGGCACCGAGAACGAATAAGCATTGTGAGACAAGGAAGAAGTTGATGAAGAAAGAGGATTGAAGAAACCTTGTTGTTGTTGCCATTTATGGTATGTTTGTTTTTGGTTTGGAGTTGGGGATGTCCTTTGGAGTGGTGGGTATGGGTGTATATATAGGGTGAAAATGGAGATGTGAAAGGAAACTCTTTGTATGTGTGAAAGTATGGTTTGTATTATTGGGCTATTGGCGTCTCATCCTTTCTTATCCATGCACCAATATATCCACGCATATCACAAATCATATAATAAATTATAAATTATCATAATAAAATTTGCTTATTATAGTCCCCAAGAATAATTAGGCTTGATTTAGGATTAATTAAAAATTATAGATTTATAGTATGAGAAAAGAGGCGCAAATGATATGAATTCCTAACTCATAAAATCAATCTTCACATTACAAGAGTCTAAAATGATTTGTACAATTAATTTAATTGTGCTAAAAAGTGCTTGTAGTTACAAATTAATCTTCACAATACAATAGTCTAAAATGATCATTTTCGCAGTACAATTAGCTTAATCATGCTAAAAATTGGTCATAGTTATAAATCTAGACGGTTGACTTGATATATGATTAAT